TAATTTAAATGATGATAATGGCTTTCTAAACATGGAACCTGTTGTGATTGTTACTTTTGAAATATTTATGCGCATTTGAATGTGTGTAAATTGCATATTTTTAGGTTAATAGGCTAGGATAGAGAGAACCTCGCTGAGCGCTAGCTCATCCCTCTGTATTTTACCTTCATCGTCCCAGGTTAATAGGCAGCGATGGTAGCAGCCGAGTTGTGCTTGAAGATAAAGAACAAAATCTGCCTTGAGTATAGTTTAGGTCTACACCTTGCCAGTTATGATATGGTGTATAGAATGTGATAATTTCTCTTTTACAACGAGACTAATGTTTCTATATTTTTTAGACTTTTTTACTAAAGTAGATTAGATCGTAACAATGTAATTATTATTCTCATTTCAAATACTAGCAATGTAATGAAATAATTTCTGTTTCACGATGCCTTGAGCAAGAGATCGCTCGGCGGGCAGCCCTTAAGAGTTTTAAGCTCGTTTAAATGAGCTGTGAATTTTTGGGGCTATCACATTCTCTCTGAGTGAGGGCAATTACACCTTGAGTGTGTGAAACTTCCGTAAGCTTCTCGGGCACGATCCAGCATCGAAATGGCGAAAAAGTCAAGGAAGCAAAGAGATCCAGACCGAGTTGAAGCTCAGGTACAACCAGAGGAGGAGCAATTGAATCCAAGAGGAACGTTTACGCCGATTCAGAACAAATCTGCTGAGGTATGTAAATCTAGCTCTGCATTTAATGCTGTGTCGGAAGCCTATTTAGTTCCGGAAACCTTGTGTAAGAAGAAAGTAATTGAGGTTGGGGAGGGTTCTGGAATGGAAAAGGATGGAAATCAGACCAGCTTAATCACTGAGCCTAGTAGTAACAAGTGGAATAGCTTTGATCTGAAGAAATTATAGAGAGAAGAAAAGAAATTAAACTTCGTTGAACCTAAACTGGTTAAAGATCATATTATAGGAAAGATCGGTATAGATGAAGTTCAACTGGAGGTTGAGTATTTGAAAACTTCTGTTTACTGTTTTGTACTAGGCGCAAATCCACCGTTTTCGGTTATCAATGGATATGTACGTAGAAATTGGGGAAGACTGGGTGTGGATAAGGTGATATTGCTAGAGAATGGATTGTATGTGGTACGGTTTGCTAATATGGCTGCAATGGAGGAGGTGCTAAGGTATAATCTGTATCACTTTGATAGCAAACCATTCATAGTGAAGGATTGGATAGTTGAAAAGGAAAAATGATATCCTTAAAGTGCCTGTGTGGATTCAGTTGCCTAAGTTGAAATTGAAGTATTGGAATGCAACTACTTTGAGTAAGATCACTAGTGCACTTGGAAGACCAATTGAAATAGATGATATGACATCTCAGAAACTGAGAACTAGCTTTGCTAGAGTACTAGTGGAGGTTGAAATTAAGGAAAAAGTGCCAAAAATAGTGTGGTTTTAAGGATGAATTTGGAACATTACAAGAGCAAACTGTTTTATATGGATGGAAACCAGTCAAGTGCAATAACTGTAAAGCTTTTGGGCATAAGACTGAGAAGTGTAAGTACCCTATTAAGCAAGATTGGCAAAAGAAGCAAACTCCATTAGTAGCCAGGAATGTTGAAAAAGTAAAACAACTAGAAAGAAGCAATTCAGATAAACAGGGAAGTCCAATGAAGGAGATCAGTGTGATGGAGAAATCTGTAAGTAGACAGAGGTCTCCAAATCAAAAAGTAAGAGGTGGCAACAAGAGTCCAGAATGACAAAGGGAGTAATGTGTAGGAAAAGGAAGGGATTCTGATATTAAATAAGAAAGGCATCAGAATCAATGAAGGAAGGACCAGTGATAAGTTGAAGTCTGTGAATGAAATTTGTTACTATGATACTACTCACCCTTTAACAGGGTCTAGTAATGATGAGTAGCCTCCTTTCTTGGAATGTAAGGGGACTAAACAGTCCCCTGGAGCATAGAAAGGTTACCTACCTTCTCTATGTGAATAAAGTTGGGTTGGCTGGACTCTTGGAGACTAAACTAAGCAAGGAAAAGTTGAGGAACTGATGGGAAGAAGATGGTCTGATTATGAGTATATAAGTAATCATATAGCCACTGATAAGGGAAGAATATTAGTGATCTGGAAAAGGGTGAATATCAAGTACAAAATATAAGAACAACCAAACAGTTTATACAATGTAAGGTTATGGAACGAGGCAGATAGTTTTTATCAACTGTGGTTTATGTTGATCATACTATGCAAAAAAAGGTGGATTTGGGATGAGCTAGGTGGTCTAGTGCAAGGAGGTCAGACTGTTTGGTTAATGATGGGGGATTTCAATTGTGTTGAAAAGGGAGGAGAAACTAGGTGGAAGGCAGGAACCAAGTGAAGATTCAGGAAAATTTAAAGAGATGATGGAAAATTGTGAGCTGTGGGAAATGAATACATATGGAGGAGTTTACACTTGGACAAACAGGCAAATTGGTGATCATAGGATTTCTGCTAAATTAGATAGAGCTTTTGTAAATGGTGAATGGATGCTTAACTTTCCTATGAGTTATGCAATTGTTTTACCAGCTGAAGTGTCTGATCACAATCCTTTAGTGATTAGATGGGGAGGAACCAGGCATGAAGGCAGAAGAACCTTTAAGTTTTTCAATATGTGGATGAAACATGATGAATTTGAAGGTATCACAAAATCAACTTGGCTGGAAAAAGTAAAAGGAAGCGGGCAAAGTGAAGTCTTTAGTTCAGGGATTAAACTGACTGTATATCAGCAGATTCTCCTGACCAAAGACTTCACCAAAGCAGAAGTTAAGGAGGCAATATTCAGCATTGATGTGAACAAGAGTTCAGGACCAGATGGATATACCAGTGGTTTTTACAGAAATGTATGGGAACTAGTAGGGGATGAGATCAGTGAAGCAATTTTAGATTTCTTGAAGATAGGAAAACACTTGAAGCAGCTAAATATATACTACATTGATATCTCTGATCCCAAAGAATGCAGCTCCAAGCAATGCTACTGAATGCAGGCCTATATCCTACTGTAACACTGTTTACAAATGCATATCCAAGATGCTTTGTAATTGAATGAGCAAAGTTCTGCCTGCACTAATTGATTTGAACCAAGGAGCCTTTGTCAACCAGAGATTGATACTTCACAACATTTTACTAGCACAGGAATTAATAAAGCTATACAGAAGGAAGAACTTGAGCCCTTGTTGTGTGATGAAGGTGGATCAGAGAAAAGCATTTGATTAAGTCCATTGGGAATTTGTTAATGAAATGTTAGTAGAGTATGGCTTCCCATAGAGATTCAGAACTTGGATATTGCAGTGTAACAACCTGCTCTTACTCTTTAAATCTCAATGGCAATAGCTGTGACTTCTTTCCAGGAAGAAGAGGACTCGGGCAAGGAGATCCATTGTCCCCTCTCTTGTTTGTTATGATCATGGAATATTTGACAAGAAGTTTTAAAATGGCAGCATTGAGGGAAATGGATCATGACAATGACTATAAAGTTGTGAAATTTTCAAATTATTTGGTGTGCTTCAAGTTTGAGGTATATAGTTTAAGGACTAATTCTTGGAAAAAGTTTACCCATTAATGATTCCTCCCAGTTGGCGGTGTTTTCTACGGAGATCAGAGTTTTTAGTTCACAAGAGGCGTATCTATTCGTTGGCTCGCCCATTGTTTTTAGATGAGTCCGGCACACCTGATTCCATAATGATCCTAGATGTGATGCATAAAGAATGATAGGAGGGGGAGATTAGAGTTCAGAATAGAGTTTGGGATGAGGAAGAACCCTAATTTTAGGGAGGTCAGAGGTGAACGGGGAAGAAGGGGAAGCTGTGGGAGAAGGCAAAGTTTAGATTAATTCCATTTTCTTTGATCCTTTCATTATTACATCAGTAAAACTCACTATTTATACTGTTAAATAATAACTATACCATATTACATAATGATCACCATAGAAACTCGTAATTCTAATTAGGTCCTTATGCTGATTCAACCATTCATCTAATTATGTCCGTAACATTACCCCACCCTTGAAGATTAGGCTTGTCCTCAAGCCTAACGAAGAAGATAGCTGCCATTCTCCACACCTTTAAGTCATCACAGCAGCAAGTTTCAGAGCATAACTCGAGTTGATGGAGAGTTAAGCTAACATGCCTTCTTCTGCTCGAATTTTGGTTATCATGCCTCATACAAAATACTTGTGCCACCTCTAAACATGGTTACAACTTTGTCCCATGGTTTTACAATTTGAATAGCCAAGTGCAAGTCCTCCCAATACTTCCGGCTCTTCCTTTTAGCTTGCAAAGTTGCTGCAACACAAAACAAATTCGAAGGACCCATATTTTCATGTATTTGAAGAAAATGATATCCCAACAAGAAACCCTTCCAAACAGAGAAGAAGTTAATATTGATTCTCCACATTGTCAATCTAAGGAAACACAAAGATCATGTTCCAACAACCAATACCCGAGCCAAAGTTCCTCCTTTAAATATAGTAGCAATTACTACCCATGGCTTCCAATCCTGATGAATGGTTACATTAACCGAAACTTCCCAGGAATCATTATGGATAGAGCTTGCATTACCTCCAAAACTTGTTTCATTTTCAAGCCACTTTAACTTGTTTACAGGGGCAGCTAAAAGTGGCTGAAAAGAAGCCTCACCACAATACATAAAAGAGATAGAAATATGAGTTTCTAAGCTCCTGATTACATCTTGAATATGAAATGTAACCATTTCTCTTTCTGCCGAACAATACTCAGGAGGACGGTCATCACCCTTTATAAAGTAAGTCCCTCCCTTAAATGCCGTAAATAGTAATCCATAATCGTCAACTACCATTCATTTAGCACAATAAAAATCCAATATGATCATTTCTTTTAAATCAAGATAAATTCCAGCAAGAAAGTCATAACCAATGAATGGATCAATGTGGTTATAAATGTATCCAATGGCTCTGGAAGCTAGATAATATGCCTTAGTTCCACCTGGATTGACAACTTAAGGGCTCAGAGAATTGCCTTTACTTGCGACACCATTTACACTAGTTAAGAGCATACCATCATCATCCATCAAACTAAGAGAAGTGCCACCTCTGAAACTAGAGACAATCTCAGGTCGCGACTTACGCAATTCCTTAGGTTCACAACCCTGAAGAACACCTAGTAGTTCCAATTCATTTAAACTCACATAAGCATGTGTGTATAGCCCGTGCAAAATAGAAGCACTAGTGCCTCCCTTAAATCCCGTTAGTAGCAAACCAAAATCATCAACTTCCACTAGATTAGCTCTGAATAAAGTCCCTACAAATCCTTTTTGAGGAAGATAAACTCCAGCAATAAAATAATGGCGAATCAAAGGATCTTCGGGGACAATAGATTTTACAAAATCATTGTTCAGCTTGTATTCCTCCATAGAAGCAGTTTGTGTAACTATGCCTTTTAGGTGTTGAAAATTATCATATGCAAATATACCTTTACAAGTCATATTATCAGAAAATATCTCTTTAAGACTCCAATTAGTTCTACCCTTGAAACCAGAGAGGAGCAAGCCAAAGTCTCCCATTCCTAGTTGATAATTATCAAAAAAAAAAAAAAAAGACGCTAGCACAATCATCAATTGTAAACCAAGAATGTAACTTGCTATTCGAAGTCCCATCACAACTGGGCTCAACCCAATATGAAGTTTGATTTCCAACAAAACTTTTTCCTTCAATATTGGAAATTAAAATCTCCTCTGTTTTTTCAAAGGGGCCAGAATTACCTCTTGGATCAAAGTGGTATCTGTCCACCGATTGTTGGTTGTACTCCAAATTTTGTGGCTCCAACATTTAACGTCCAGACCTGCAAATCCCAGGCAGCGTTATGGCTTCCTCTGATGGAATTCTGACCCCAAGAATCTCGACAGCGGCATCCTTTTTAACATCAACAACTCCAGAGTCTTCTATTCGCTGAGAAAATTCCTCCCCAAACACCAAATCGATTTCACCGGGAGTGACTAGGCAAGGGTTTCCAAAGCAAATTTTTAAGTGGACAATGAAATTTTCCCAGGAAGAGAAGGGGAAATTCAACTGATACCAAATCAACGCTTGCCTGTCAAGTGGAAGAAGGCTAGGGGGATTTTTTTGGTGGGTTGGTGTTAAGTGAGAAGAGAAGAAATTTTTGATCTGAAATAACCACTGATGGGGATTAGTGCCTGAAAATAAGGAGATTTGAGGTGGGGACGGTGGTAGCGGCGCTGGTGGCGGCGATAGTGGTGGCAGTTGAGTAACAGGTTGAACGTACCTATACATGGTTGACTTCGAACCAAAGAAAATCGGTGATTTGGTGGAGTTCAGGACAAAGAAAGCACCATTGATGCATAAAGAATGATAGGAGGGGGAGATTAGAGATTAGAATAGAGTTTGGGATGAGGAAGAACCCTAATTTTAGGGAGGTGAGAGGTGAACGGGGAAGAAGGGTAAGCTGTGGGAGAAGGTAGAGTTTAGATTAATTCCATTTTCTTTGATCCTTTCATTACATCAGTAAAACTCACTATTTATACTGCTAAATAATAACTATATCATATTACACAATGATCACCATAGAACTCGTAATTCTAATTAGGTCCTTACGCCGATACAATCACTCATCTAATTATGTCCGTAACAGGATGTAAATAAACAGGAAGTTCGAATAATTCCACCACCAAGCCCCGAACCCTATCGTATGAATCTATTCCTCTTCAAAGGATCTGTTGCTATTTCTAGTACTAATTTTGGCCAGACATGCAATGATAATGAGCTCTGGATGTTGAAGGAGGATGCCATTGATCATTTCGAGAATTGGGTGGAGAGTGGGTAGGAAAAGTTCTGGACTAAAGTGTCTGTTCTTCCTGAAAATTATCCCTCTGTCCCCTTCGCTGCTATATGACAACTGGGGTTACAATGGGCGCAAATGACATGTTCTTTCCAAGTTCTGTTGAAGCCTCTAAGTTTTTAGCGCGAATGGAAATAAGAGATCCATGGGACTATGTCGTAGCTGATTATGATCCGAGCATAGTTTATGTAATGATCCCTTCCCCTCCTTCTTGTGGTGTTGATGTTCAAGTTGAAAAAGCCAGTGATGAAGATGAAGAATCAAGGTTAATAGTATTGTTGATGTTAAAGTTGAAAAAGCCAGTGATGAAGTTGAAGAAATCAAAGTTAGTAGTGTTGTTGATGTTGAAGTTGGAAAACCCAGTGATGACATTGCGGAAATTTCCGCGGAAGAAAGAAGCTAGAAAATCTGTGCACCTCAAGAGGCTAAAGAGTGTAGTATCACCTATTCTAAGTTGTTTTTCTTATTCTTAATTGAGTAGGTTGTTTTCATTGTGGATGTTTAAGCCTATTAGGCTATGCGATTAATGATAAAAAAATTGATTGATTTGGAGATGGTTTTGCTATTGCTGTAGCATTAAGTTTGATCATCTTTGACAAATCCATCAAGGTCATAAGGTTAGACATGATGACTCTGTGTGAATACACTGCAAAGTCTTTACCAAATCAAATATACATACACAGAAGCACCTTCCATTTTCGACCTAACAAAACAACAAAGCAATGTGTAAACTGTAAACTATTAACAACTCATGTGTTCCTTTACGGATTAACAATTTGTGAAAATAGGCAAGAGGTTTGAGTACATTTCTCAAGGTATTCAAAGGAAGAGATATGAGAGGGTTCAGCAATTGAGATGGAAAAGTGGGGTTGTTATCATGTCTAACCTTATGAACATTCCACCCCTACATTTTTTTTCTAAATTTCGCGTAGATCTCTTGAACATTCATTACAGGAAGAAAAATTTTGAGGTTCATTCCTTATTTTTAAAATGGAAGAATAATGAATGATACATACACTAACCAATGAAACCCGAAAAACTAGAAATACGCAAGGTTCATCCGATATGACATGAGATTCACCCAAGGGCGGACCCCTTAAGGGATTCGAGGGATACCAAACTTCCGATTTGCCAGAAAACCCTTTAGGAGTACTCATTTTTAACCTTCCGCCATGTATTTTTATCCACTTATCACGACCATGAATATGTGATTACCCCTCAAATTTGAGTAATTGGTTCCGCTACTGGATTTACCCAATTTTGTTATTATTAAAAGAACAGAATTGTTAGGAGTCGGAGGGTAAGAGTTAGGCATTAGGATGCAAGTGGCGTTAAAATTAATATAGTACTCCATCTATCCCAAAATTATTATCCAGTTTAGATTTTCATTTTCAGAACTAATAATAAAAATCTAAATTATCTAAAACTAAAAATCTAAATTGGACAATAACTTTGGGCCGAAGAAGTATATATTTGTAGAAAAAGTCCTTAGAATTAAAAAATAATAATAATAAAAATAAAAATCATATGACACAAATTTTATAATGTAGGTTTACTTGTGCTATGTGAATAGAAAAAATAGAAAGAGCGTATATCTTTGTCAAAACCTTCCGAAGTTACTCTTCCAGGATCTATCCGCCGCCGGAAAAAATCATCGGTATCATGGATAGCATGAAAAGTTCCAGTCACAAAGGAAAAATTGTGAAGGCTTCACTAGAATTACCAGAAGATCTAATTCTGGAGATTTTGATAAAGCTACCAAAGAAGGACCTGGTTCGATTTCATAGGGTATGTAAGTCTTGGCAAAACCTTATAACCTCTCCCGATAACTTCAAACTATTTAATCACCCGAATTCTTCTTCCGGACAACGCAGTAACAATCTTGAAACTGGTAATTTACTTCTCCTGAATAGTTGTCGTAAAGTTGCTGATGGAGAAACTGAGCTTCAGATCAGGGAACAATTAGGTAACTGAAAGAGAAACTAGCCGAGGACCATGGCCTGATTCAGAGCCATCGATTAAGGTAAGATTTTCTTGGCTGGTTGCTGCAATGGGTTGCTTTGTTTTTTTACAGGGGACAATACCAGCTGTGATGTCTACCTCTGTAATCTGGTTTTGGGCCAGGTTAGGGCTCTTCCGAAGACAAAATTCAACAATGTACCCCAGCGTCCCAGCACTATTGTTTCATTCTTCTATGATAATCACAACAATGACAATAAAGTTTTGAAAATCATGACGAATCATTTTGGGTTCAAGGTTGGAGATAATAGTCTAAACTCCGGTTTAATTCAGAGAGCACCTTTCCTAGTTCATAATGGTCGTATCTATTTGTTTGGTTGGAATTATTTAGGCCATTACAATCTACCCTGTTTCATGATCATCCTCGATGTAGACAAGGAAGAAGCCAGAATAATTCCCCAACCCAATGGGCTAAATACGTGAACAATAAATCTATTCCTATTCAAAGGATCTGTTGCTGTTTCTAGTAGCGGTTTTTATCAAAAGAATGCTGATGATGAGGTTTGGGTGTTCGAGGATGCCAATGATTATGATAAGCACCAGGTGCTGGAGGACAATGAGTGGAAAAAATTTGGACAAAAAAGTGTTTTCCTCCCTAAAGTTGTCCCAGAGTTCCACTTCTCCCTTATAGAACAACATGGGTAACAATGGGCGCAAATGAGCTGGTTTTTCCAAGTTCTGCTGAAGGCTCTAAGTTTTTGACATCGACCAATTCCGAAAACTCATGGAAATTTGTGGTAGCTGATTATGTTCCGAGTTTAGTTTCTGTAATGATCTCTTCTCCTTCGTAGTGGTGTTGATGTTGATGAAGCCAATAAAGGGTAATCATGAAGAAGAAGAAGAAGAAAAAATCAAGCGTATAGCAACACATATTCTATGTTGTTTTGTTCCTAAATTGGAAATAGGGCAACCCAGGTTCTAGGCTATTCAAATGAATTGATTAGTACCGGTAGCTGATAGTTGTGGAATTAGATTTTGAGAGGTAGAGCTTTAAAATAAAATTTAAAAAAGCGCAGTGATTTTATTCAAATGACAGGAGGTACATTGTACTAAAAGAGTTTTTTGTTCTAAGACTCCTGCAATTTATATCTACACTTATTTATTTGATGGTATCACAAGCATTTGTATGACTATTATGTACTGAAACACAAATGTAACATTTTTGACCGATGGAATTGTGATTGAGTAGATGGAACTCATTCATCCTTAATTATATACAAATAGATTTTTGAAAATTAAAATCCCCTACAAATATAAAATATCCTTATATTCTTTGGCTAACTTTTAACAGCTCGCGATCTCCGTAAATCAGTGAAAAGATTAGTTACAGTTAGTCAATTAATATACTTCATGGTGATTTACAGGAGAGTCCTAACTCAAAGTTGTGGTAGAGATCTGAACTTTGGTAACCAAATGAGAGCTCAATGTTCCAAATAGAGCGTAGGAAAATCAAGGTTGATAGAGAGTCGCAACTCCATATTAGGGTAGAAAAAATAAGCTCAAAAATCCCAATTGGACAACAGGATGTGGTCTCGGACCGGGGTCTTTCTGGTTTATGCTGATTTTCCGGTCTAATTAATAATTAAACCACTCAAAGCGGTTCAATCTTATTTTCGTGCTGGGAGACCGACTGGAACATTTCTCAAACCCATAGAAAATCTCACAAATCGCCAATCTCTTTTATTTCTATTTCTCTTTGCTCTTCGCAATCGCCGTCGCCACCGCAAACTACCGCCGGTCAACCAAACCCCAAAACCGACAAAATTTCTTTGAAAATGGTGAGCCCAGTTGCTGCTCGAAGAAGTGGTGGCCTTCTTGAAGGGGTTTACCGGCTGGTCATGCGTCGTACCCCCATCTACGCCACGTTTGTCGTCGTCGGAGCTTTCGCCGCCGAACGGGTCTCTTTCTTTACCCTGAATTCGGTTCTGTTTTTGTTAGATTTTATTAAATTCCGATTCATTTGGATCTGAATGAAATGATATTTCTCATTTTTCGTGAAAACCAACAAAAATAAATAAATAAATAAATAAATTTGGAGCTTTATTATCAACTTAAATCTCTGTTTTGTGATACGTGAATTTCGTTTTGATTTTCGCTCGCTTCTTGCAGGGAGTGGATTATGGGGTTAAGAAACTATGGGACCAAAACAATATCGGGGTATGATTCAATTAGCTTTTTTTTTTTTTTTTGACTTGAAGTTATTATTACTAGCAGCAGCAGTCATTTCTGTTAATGGAATATGATTTTAAGCCTCTCTTTTGTTCTTTTGTCTGTAATACTGCTCATTCATTTTCGATGGGATTGGATTACTTGGTTTATATGATTTGGAACGATGGATAGTTGTTTTGGATATTGGGATTGGTTGAGATGTTGGTTCCCTAAGTTCAAGAATAATATGAATTTTCTAGGAATAGAATTATGTAACCATTTATTTGGAGAATATGGAGACCCAAGTTATTAGCCTGATTCTGAATATTTGAAATGACTCTGATCAATAGAATTTGGAGAATAAAAAAACATGCTCTCTTCATTAGGTGGTTAGAAGAAAGGCAGATACTGTAGCTTCTGCTGAACTGATCAAATTTCGGTTGTTTTATAACAGAAATTGGGTGCAAGTTCTGAATGTAGTGCTATCTTTCCTCTCTTTTGCCTCAGTTTTTTTTCTTGAGAGATAAATTTGCTGCTGTAATGCACCTTACCATAACCACAGTTGACAATAGTTCTTGCTGTACTTGGGGAAATTAGAGCTGTATTTTTCCTAAGTCATGTTTATGATGAAACTGGGCCATTGGGCCTTGTTGGAAGTGCGAATCTAATATTTTTCTGTGTCCTCCAGAGTATTCTACCTAATCTAGCTATGAAATGAAGCCATGGTGTGGCCTATTTGAGATTTATCCTGGTTATCTAGCAACTGTACCGACACAGCATTTTTATGGTTCTCGACTGATTTTATGTAAATAAAACTCAATGCTAATAGGACTATTAGTATGCCGTGATTATTTCAACTTGTTAAACTGCTTAATGATAGATATTTTAAGTTTTTGTTTTGACGTTATTTTGTGGTAGTGATTTAGGGGTCATTCACCGTCTAAAGAGATGCCTAAAACTTTGAAACAGGGTTTTGTGTCCTATGGTTTGTAAAATGATTCAATGTTTTATCACTCACAAGCCCAATGTCTAGTGCTATATATCCTACCATTTGGAGAGTTCTCTACATTGGGTATAAGGCCTGTAATTGCGAAGCAACATGTGCATGATCAAATCATAATCTTCTGCCTTTGATTCAGTAGTGTGGTCCTTGTTTACTAATTAGATTGCCAATTGTTCTCAAACTGGTCCGTTTTACAAATGCAGAGGATTGTATTTAGGCTTAACAATCACTGCAGATCCCATAGTTCCTGGAAAGTGAAAAGTTAGGGGATTGTTGGGTATGAAGTTGGGAAGCAGGTAGTGAAATTGAATGTCTTAAAAAAGTTCTATGTGGTCTTTTGAACTGATAAGAGTCAAATGGGGCAGAGGGCCTTTTGGGATTGTAAAAGGTTTATTAAATATTACTCTCTCCGTTCCAAAATAAGTGTCATTCTAGAGTTTGCACACAGTTTAAGAAAACATTAAATAAGATAGTTAAATTACTAGAATATCCTCAACTAACCCCATTAAAATAAATGTTTACCAATAATATTATTTCTTTTGAGGGTATGTTTGGAAACTTTTGACAAAAAAATGTATTGGAATCCGAAAACGACACTTATTTTGGAATTTTTTCATTTTGCTAAAACGACACTTATTTTGGAATGGAGGGAGTAGATGGTAGGAAATATTGATTTTGAAGTTCCCAAATCTTTTACCATACATGAGGGTATGTGGGGAAACGATTGTACGTAGCCTTACCCACTTCATTGAGTTCCCACAGATGTTTTGAAATTTCGATATGTAATGCTACTCGTACTTGAAAACTCTCAAAAACTACTGGCATCAGCACCCGTGTTCCTTCCAAACTGTAGAACAAAATAGAAAAGACTAAATGGAAACAAGGTAGTCAGTTAGGCTGAGGGATCATTTTGGTGTGGAAGCCTCTGATCCGCTCACTTGGAATGGTCATAGACTAGTCCCTAGATTTGAACCTGTCGACCATGTTTAATGGAGTAATTGTAAATGGACCAATAGTTGCAATTGTTATTGTCTGATTAAAAAGCTTTTGATCTTTCTTTGAAGAGGAAAATTTTGGACTTCTCTTTAGCCACAAGATTTGCTTCAAGTGTTTCTGATTCTGTCCATAAAATTATTGCATGTCCGTATATTTCCGTAGTATTTGGAAGAAAGTTAATTAATAAGAATTTTTAATGGCCAACTGGTTCATAACACTTGTAGAGAGTTTTGAAACTTTCACCCAGCTATTGTAAACATTTGAGAGCTTTCAAACCATCACCCAGCTATCATACTTCTTTCTTTACTCTATCATTAGTTTTATGCATTTGAGGCTCTCAAAGATAATGTCAAGTAGTCATTATAATTTGATCGAGTCTATCCGAATTTATTTTGGTATTTATCTTTTTCGTTTCTTCTGTACAGATGACTGGAATTTTGTCTGTGTTAATATGTTTGCATCCGTCATTCTGAAAAATATTCTGGTGGTGTATTTGTTGGTTTTGTTTGTGGTGAAATGCTGTTAATTGTTTCTATTCTTCGTTGTGCTGCCTTTAAGTTTGCACCTGGGCTTCTTCGTTATCAGCTCCTCTGATATATTTGCCTTGTCTTTCCTTCGGCTAACACACTTTGGTCTTTACCTTAACAGTGTATTCAATATCTGACTGCACTCTTTGTGTTCAATACTGCAGAAACGTTACGAGGATATCCCAGTTTTGGGACAAAGGCAATCCGAAGAATGAGCATAGGAAATGCTCGTCTCATCACTTTTTCAGACCGCAAAATGAATAGCTCATATTGATCTACTAATAATTTGTACTTCAATGAGACTAGGCAAATCGAAATTGAGATTGTTTTGAACTTTTTTGGACACCATCTAGTTACCTTCTTTGGTTTTTGAACATTTTCCATGAGAACCTGAAGTTTATATTATTGGCTCGCTCCGAGTGTTGATCGTGACCTTGGTTTTTGAAATTGAGCTTGAATCACCTTCCTTTTTGAATTTCAGCTGAAAGGAACATGTGTAACTATGAAAAAAAAGTATAAAAGGTTTAATTTTTTGTTTCTTCCATCTTAAAATAATATTCTACCAGCAGAAGAGAAACCAGAGATAGACAAGCGTGTCTCGTGCATTATTGGCTTAAGAGTATTTTTTATTTGGATTGGTGTCCCTCGAGGGACTTCAATCAACTTCACAAAATTGCCAATATGATGGATGCATCTCGTTCTTTTGGTGTGTGCTTGATGCAGATTACCCAATAAAGAACATGTATATCCCTTTTAAATCACAACAATATCAAAGACAATGTCAACTGCATGGTGCCCTTTTTTTAAAAATCTTTCTACCATTTAGTTTCTTATTTTGTTGGTGAACTCAATCATACATATTCAAGTTGTTAACTTTTCTCCTCTTATTTCTCCAACTATAAACAATACTCCCTACGTCTTATAAGACAAAAAAAAAAAAAGGTTTTCTTTATGAGATATAGAGTCGAATCTTTGTCATTCGCCAGGAATTTGCTAGAGCGCCTAGCTTCAATTCTTTATGTTATTTCTGAACTTGACCCTTAAGTCGACTTAAGTCTTATAATTGTATTAAACAAGTTTAATATTGACTATTTTAATCCGACGGAGCGGTAATGACAGCAAACTTTACTTTGGGCAAATTGGGCTGCTAATAACAACAAAAATCAGGCCTACTGAACACGATTACTCCTAAATCTCCTACTTAACCAAACCAAGTGGGATTAGACACTTGGAGTTGGACTCTTTTTTACTAGAGAAAGCATAACAAATATTCAAAATACAAACTACAAAATTTGAATAAAATAAAACCAATGGGCCGCAATGGGTAGGTTAAGGGGGTTGTTTTCAGGGGGCAGCCGCCTACTTGATTAACTGGAGGGGTGCTCTTAATAATAATATTAATTAATATTTAGCCTAAATTGCCTAAAAGTGACCAAAACGTCTTTCATTTTAACACTTGAATCACTTTGTCGTCTCTCTGCCAATCCCAAAAGGCATCTCGATTCTTCTGCTGCTGCCTTATTCTCCTCTATATAAAATACTAGTTGTATTACATTGACCATCCCCCCAGTTATAATAAAAACAGCTTCTTTCATTTTTTTTGTATTAAGTTATCTATCACTTTGTAATCTCCGCTTTCTCCTGCTGTTGCTCCTCTCCTTCCCATCAAAAGACAGGCTTTTTTTAAAGAAAAAGGAAGAAAGAGAGGTAAATCTCATAACAAATCTTATAATTCTTATTTGGTTGTTTTGTAGTACACGAGATCTTTGGAGTAAGATTTCATTTCTGGGTTTTCTTCTGTTTTTGATGTTTGGATTGATGATGGGTGTTTGTTGTTTTTGTATGATAAAGGGCATTTTTTTTTTTTTTGAAAGGGAAAGTCTTCATTATGTATAACCTTTAATTTTTGATGTTCGATTGGGATATTCTGGTTTCTTTGCTGATGGAGATGGGATGGGGCTTGTTGGTGTGGGTCGATTTCGTTAATTTAGCCTTTTTGTGATGTAACACATTTGTTGGGTAAATTTTGTTTTTTTTTTGTTTTTTTGATTCAATCGAAGTTAAAAAATCTGATTTTACATCTCTGTTTTTTGTTTTCTTGTGAGAGGTTTTGTGGGTTTAGGAGGTTTTGTACTCTTGAGCAGTTTTTGTTGCCTTTTACCCAGGATTAACTAGACTACAGCTGAAGTTTTCTTCTTTAATTTTTTTAAAAGAAATGGATCCATTATGTGTGTGTATTAGCTTCGGGGTTTAATTGTTCAGGGGTTTAATTAGAGGTTAAACTCAGTGAAGGTGGTTGTTATATTATCCTTAATTTGGCTGTGAAAATAGTCATTCGAGTTGAATTTGAGATAAAATATTGGTTTGGTTCATATTTGTTCATATGTTGAAGTTGATTTATCTATCTGTTTAACTTTAATCTGTTTGCTTTCTGAATCTTTATCTCATATATTTGAACCTTCAAAATTTCTTTGAAATGAGCATCAAAATAGAATTCATTCCCGTGAAAAAAGAGCCTAGCTTGGTGGGAGTTTTGGCTTCTTGGGAACTTTAGGTACTATATCCGAACAAAATACTTGCGTTGGTCCATTGTTACATTTGTGGTAGTACTTGAAACCACATTGGCAAAATTTTCTTTGTGAAGTTTTGTGTGTCCGTATTCTGATAAATTAAAGACATCAATGTTTTTATTGAAAGAATAACTTGGGGCCTCGAGTAAAGAGCAAAGAGCTTTTTGCTTGCTTCTTTTCATAGTGCTCCAGATATTTAGGGTACCTCAGTCACGAAATGGAAGAGTTCTATCTCTGCTGTTCTTTGAACGGGGTGTATATTATGATATTCTTTACCAAGTCAGTGTGAGAGTAATGCAATTATTGCTGAATCTGATCAAGATATCGACTTTATGAAATTTGTTTTTTTACCTTTAAACAATTGGTCACACAATTGGAATGCTTTAGGCTCCTTTGATTTTAAATTATGTGTTGTGCTTCATTTGTGATAGTTTTGAAATAGGAAATGCAGAACTTTGCAATCTATGTCTTCGTTGCTTTGATGATAGTAGTACCATAGCTGGTTTTTTGCTCCTTTACGAAAAGGAAATTGCAAACTCCATGCTTGTGTCAGTTTATGCAAGCCTTTATTTTGAAGTTAGCTTGTATATGATTGTCTTTGGTATCAACATCTAATGATATGAAATATTTCCCTATCTTGATGTCTCTGCAACTGCAAGATTTTATACATCCGCTGGTTTAGTTTGTAAGGCTGGATATCAACCCACTTTTGTTCTTTTCAGATAAAATGGCAACTGTGAGGCTTGCAACCAACATGATCAGCACTGTGCCCGTGAGCCAGAATTCAAAAGCCTTTGTTAAGTGCCCTCCATCTATTGCATCTGTAAAGAGTGTGTCGAGAACCTTTGGGTTGAAAACCAGCCTCAGTTTCAGGACAACTGCCATGGCAACATACAAGATTAAGCTTGTCTCCCCTGAAGGAGAAGAGCACGAATTCGAGGCAGCTGATGATACTTACATTCTTGATGCTGCTGAATCAGCGGGAATCGACTTGCCGTATTCTTGCAGGGCCGGGGCATGCTCCACTTGCGCTGGAATGGTCGTTGAAGGGTCGGTTGACCAATCTGATCAATCTTTCCTTGGCGACGAACAATTGGAGAAGGGATATGCACTCACTTGCGTCGCTTACCCAACTTCTGATTGTGTGATTCACACACACAAGGAGGGTGACCTTTATTGAGAGTGTCTAGTTCAGGTGATACCAGTAGTTTGGTAGGTGCAATGCAGCATATGTTTAGTGTTCACGAGTGCCTTTCTGAAGGATTGTCGGGAAGTCCAGACGGATGTCACTAGACTTGGTTCACATTTACTTCACATTTTTGTGTAACTCTTGTTCTAAATTTATGTGCATGTCTTTCACCTAGAAATAACTGGTTCTTTATGTTGGTTGTGTGTATGGACAACTCCATTATGAATAGCTTGAATGCCATAAATTGCAGGAGACGCAAACCTTTTATGTTCCTGAGTCTCAAGTAGGTATCACATTAAAAAAATTCTTCCGTCATTTTCAAGAAATCCCACATCGGGGGTTGATATGAATGATTTTCTTATTATAAGTAGATGAGTTGAGACTCATAATTGCCGGGCTAGGTAACGTCCCAGTGGGGGCATTAAGTGTTGGGAAGTTGATTTTGGGTCCTCTTTGAAAATCTTGGGCTTCCTTCTGGTCTCATTGACCTTGCCATGACGCTTATTAATGTAGTGATTCCGGGCCCTGTTTCGATCCACGGATAGAGGCCATAGATAGTTCTGACTTCTAGAAATTATTAACGGATGTCATAGTGGAGCCCCGCGGTGAACAAAAGTGGGCCGTCGAATCACTCTTAACGGACTAAGCCTAAGCCTTAATAGGTTGACCCAATCCTACCAACACTTTTTTTTCTCCCTTCTTTTTGTATTTTTTTTCAGAGCGTTCTAAAATGATTGTCCTAAATAAAATACTCTATCTATCCCAAAAAATTAATCTATATTGAGTTTAAGGATTTATATTTTTTAAAATACAAATTTTAAAAGTCAATGTGAATTTTTTTTAATTGCAATTTGAAAATTGTAGTAAGAAGAGACAATGCAAAGGCCTAATCAGGCTAGGCCCAATCTGACAACTATCACTTTTGCCTTTTCTACTTTTTTTGTTTTTCCTTTTATTATTATTATTTTTTATTGAAGAAAACCGCTTCACTTATAAAATGTTGATGAAATATTTTCCCTTCATGGTGAGATTGGATCATTGGACCTCGAAGAAATCTCGCAAAGAATTTTACCAACAAGGCTAAGACCATTTTCCTAATTGTTTCAATGTGTGTGTTGTATATATATATATATATATATATATATATATATATATATTTTTAGAAACAAAGAAACAATTATATTTATATAGTCAACACCCACGTGTGAACATGGATGCTGACTATAAACATGGGTCCAAATTCCAATTTCTAAATATATATAATTGTTTCTTTATATATATATAAATATATATATATATATTCTAAATATATATATATGTATATATGCCTTTTGGAAAGCATAGTGTTTATTAATTGCAAGCCAAAATAGGAACAGTTTTATTTTAAATTTAATGCAATTAAGACTGGATTATTTACGTTGATGATTTTGTAGAAATTCAACCTTGAAGTTTTATGATGTTACTTGTTCCTTTCTAGTTTAAGGCTCCGTTTGATGATCACTGAATACTGAATCTGAACACTTAACATTTAACACTGAAGTCTGAAGTCTGATGACTGAATTTACATTGTTTGGTAAAAAACATCTGAATTCGATGTCTGAAGACTGAAGTCTGAAGTCTGAATCTGAATACTCAGGTCTGAAAGTTATTTAAATTTTTAATATCATTAAAATTGAATTATAAATAAAATTCTTTTAAATAGAAAAATAACTAATATTTTTTTCTAAATAATAAAATAATAATTTTAAAATAAATTTTTGGTGTATATAATGAAAGTAGATATTACACTTGCTAAATAAAAAGATATATATATATATATATATATCTTGTTATTTAGAAAATTTTATGTATTAAAATTAGTTTAATTTTAGTTTGAAAGTTTGGGATTTTTTATGCTCATAATATAAATTTGAATTTAAGCACTCTTAATAAATTTATCTTAAGAAAATAAAAATTTTAAAACAATGTAAAAATAAGAGTTGAAATAAAGACGAGTGGAAAAAGGGAAAAAAAATCAATCAATACAGAAATTAAGTGTTAAGTGATAAGTAATAAGTGGTAGGCCTATCACTTATTTTTTGGCTCTCAATTGAACTGACCATTCAGATGCACTTAATTAATTCAGACAGTGAAATTTTAATTATCAAACGCACTTAATTAATAAGTACTTAATTAATTCAGAACTTAATTCATTAAGACCTTTTAGTAGGGATTATCAAACGCACTTAATTTCATTAAGTACTTAAATAAATTAAGTCACTATATTAAGTGATTATCAAAATGAACTGCTTTCTATATCCCAAAAAAAAAAAAAAAAGTTCACAATAAGTTTTGAAAATTGTACTCAATATGGACTTTTTTTTTTTTTATTGTGATGGAGGGAGTATTGGAATTGGACGGATGGAATACATTTGGTGTCTTTGTTAAGTTTATACCTGCATTACAAGCGGCCAGTCCTTGTATCAAAGATTTATTATTCTTCAATGAGAAGTGGCCAACTGCAAAAGCAAGAACAATCATTTTAAGTTTTATATATTTATACCCGGAGAAGACTGATGAGGCAGAAATCAGAATAAGAATCTTTATTTTACCCCCATTGAAACATATAAAACATAACAAAAGAAAAAAAGGCTCAAGAGAATAAGAATAAAGTTCATCTTCGTACATTTAAAAAAAGAAATGTTGGATTTAGGTGGATAGAATATCTGGAAATGCATGCACATAAAATTATTTATATAGGTGGAAGAGATACGGCAAATACTTTTTGTTAAAGGGCCTTTTCTTGGTTTTGACATTTGATTTTGAATTGAATTTTCTCAAAGGGATTGCTTTTTTTGCTTAGAAGAATCAAAATAATTCGTAGGTTTTTGAAGGTTATTCTAGTTTTGCCAAATTATTCAAAGATAGTTTGGGAGAGAATCACCAAATGGTTTTTAATTTTGGGACAATATACGTAGCTGATGTGACTTAACAAAAATCATATATACTATTTTTGTTTGATATTAAGGTATATTTTACGATAGAATACTAAGAGAAAATACAAGAAAGTGATGACCTTTCTGGCTTTCTTTAGGTACATATATATAAAGGTTAAGGCCTAAAAGTTGATTGATCCGTATAACAAACCTGGGCGACATTTCTTCCTAACTATTCTGTTATGATTATATAATAAATCCATCCTCTTCATGGCAAAATTAACTTCTCAAAACACACATGAAAAATATACGGTGAGTCCTAACTCATCAGTTTTGTAATACCTCAAATAATGACATGACATATAACTCGTAGTCTTAGACAATCGATGGCGTGGATTGATCTATTACGATTGAGATTCTTCTCTACGTCCGTTTGATAATCACTGAAGTCTGAATCTGAACACTTAACACTACTGAAGTCTGAAGTCTGAAAACTGAATTTACATTGTTTGATAAAAACATCTGAATTTGATGTCTAAAGACTGAAATCTGAAGTCTGAAAACTGAATCTGAAGTCTCAGATCTGAAAGTTATTTAAATTTTTAATATCATTAAAATTGAATCATAAACAAAATTCTTTTAAATAAAAAAATAACTAATATTTTGTTCTAAATAATAAAATAATAATTTTAAAATAAGTTTTTGGTATATATTATGAAAGTAGATATTAAACTTGGTAAATAATCAATATATAATTAAATTTAGATTATTTATATATATGGATATATATATATATATGTATACCTTTTTATTTAGCAAATTTCATGTAATAAAATTAGTTTAATTTGAGTTTGAAAGTTTGAGATTTTTTATACCCATAATATAAATTCAAATTTAAGCACTCTTAATTAATTTATCTTAAGAAAATAAAATTTTTAAAACAATATAAAAATAAGCGTCGAAATAATGATAATGGAAAAAAGAGGGAAAAAAGAGCCATCACAGAAGTGAAGTGATAAGTGATAAGTGATAAGTGGTAGGCCTATCACTTATTTTATTGCTCACAATTAAACTAGGCATTCATACGCACTTAATTAATTCAGATAGTAAAATTTTAGTTATCAAACGCACTTAATTAGTTCAGAACTTAATTCATTAAAGACATTTTAGTAGTGATTATCAAACATACTTAATTTCATCAAGTACTTAAATAAATTAAGTTATTATATTAAGTGATTATCAAACAGAGCATAACTCCTGAACTAAATTTCTATTTATGCTCTTTTTATATAAAACTAGATGGATTAGACGCGCTTCGCGTGTATGCTATATATAGTGACGTAATGTAAATTATATAAAAGAAAAAAAATAAAATTTTTAATAATTAAAAATATTAAATCACATTGCAGTCTATAGAAATAAAATAAAACCAAGTTTCGGTACCCAAAAAAAAAGAACTAAAAAAAAGAAAAAAAATTAAAAAACAGAAACTAAATTTGAGAAGGGGAAAAAATTCGAGGAGCAATGAAAGAATTAGACTACTGGTGAGAAATAAAATAGAACCAAGTTTTTGTACCACAAAAAAAAAACCTAAAAAAAGAATTAAAACATATAAAAAATAAATAAATTGAGAAGGAAAAAAATTTGAGGAGAAAAAGATGGAGATGAACAATGAAAGATGATGATCTCCAATACGCTTGAGATTGAGAGGTAAAGTAAATAATTGAAAGAGAAAATAAGTGACTAAATTTTACACATTTCAGAATCATATATAGGTAAATTTATACTACATGACCTTTTTTTTCTTTTGAGTTATGGAATAATTTAAGCTATCATTGACGAACCAATTAAATTCAAAGAAAAGAAGAGAAGAAGAAAAGACATTAAGGAATTCAAAGAGGTTAGAATCACAAAAATCAATTTTAGATTGATCAAATTCACCTAATAATAAGAATTTATTTTCCTTAAAAATAAAAATTAATGGCCAAAATCATCAAAACCGTTTTTAGACTAATTAAATTCACCTAATAATGAGAAGTGATTTTATTATAATCTTAAAAATAAAAATTAACGGAAGGGAGATCAAAGAGTCATTAAATTGTTTCATAATAAAGAATAATTTATTGTTATAAAATTATGTATAAAAGGAGTAATTTATTATCATAAAGTTATAAGGTAATGGGTAATAAGTGATATAATGATAAAATAAAGGGGAAAATACTTATTGAAAAATATTTTTGACCAAATTAAATGAAGGACTACAAAATTGATGAATTACATGCAAAAATAATTAAACAAACTAAATAAGGTGAAGGACTACCCAACTCCAAAAATTATTCTGCAATTATAATATAGTATGACAAACAAAAACCAACTCCATAATAAGTATGAAGAAGATTTACTCCTACTGCTCTTAGGTAGTGATTAATTAGGGTTGGTTATGCATTTTTGTGGACTTTATGTAGACGACTAGTTAAACTTCAGTTTAGATGTAGTGAAAAACTCTTTGCCAATGTCAACAGCTTATTATTCTTCGCCCGAATAATATTCATTAATAACTATTTCCCCCATTTGAATATACGAAAAATTCACAAAAACATAATTC